TCGGTCAGCATTATGGAATATATAGTTCCATTATGCTCAGGAGGGCATCTTTTCATTATTGATGGTTCAGAGCAAACCAGACTCAATAATCCGAGTACCACCATTGGGTCTAGTCTATGTCATCTTGTGCCTTTCACCATTATTTCTTTGTTCTAACATCTGCTTACCTTCATTTTCAGTGAGCAAAGACGGACCTGGTCTTTTCTGCAGACAAAATCTACAGGATTCTTCTTGTCTGAATAGATACTGATAGATGGTTTTGCTTGTTGTCTTTCTGGACCCACTAAGGTTATAAAGAAATTCCTTTCTAATCCTCAATATTAATCAAAATCTTCGTAATTCTTGTTTCATAAAAATCTAAGAAGGTTGTCGAAATATGTGGTGTGTAGTACAGCAAACTCGAGCCAACATTTCTACATAGCACTTTATGTTTATGCCCTTTCCCCAGCTCTCAATTTCTTAAGTAATCCCTCTAGAATCCGTGAACAACTGAAGAACTTGCATCTCTACGTTCAATAGCCTGGTACACGATCTTGCGTTCATGGGTCTATAATGTAGGCAGTCTATCCTAATGCAATCATCAGCGACTGATTCCACGGCTCGAACCCGTGACCTATAGGTCGAGACAACTTTATCGTTGCTCCAAGACTCCCCTTCAATTATTATATATAGTTTAGATTCCTTCTGATTGAGCTAGTCAAATAGATCTTATTTTATGTTTTTCCTGCTTATATGATTCTTGGGGCTAGAAGTGGTGTGTTACATCTTTATGACAGAAATTGTTAAAGTATGTCAGCACAAATTGTAAGCCTTCTAACTCTTAGGAACAATATCCAATGTGTAAGTAGATGAGGTTTTTCACTGTGTTCAGCAACCATTCACAAAATTGGTATTACATTCAAACAAATTTAAATACTGAATACATAAAATAGCACAAGCTTTTCATACAAGCATAGGCATTTAGAGGAAGAACCTGCCACCAGTAATACCGCTCCCACTGTCTCGCAGCAAGTAGCATTCCTTGGATGGGCACCACTTCAGAGTAAGTTCCTCAAACTTTGCAAGTCCCATTAAATTACAGATTCTTCCCTAGCCTCTGGTTTGGCAATAGATTGAACTAGTTTAGATTTTTGCAACTATTTGATTTCATAAAAGAAACATGGAACCAAAGCTAATGAACGTGATAGTGTAAAGTGTAAACATTATAGATTTTCCAGGAACTATTATGATGGATGATATCTTGCAGTTGTGTAAACAATACTCACCGACAGAAGATTAATGAGTTCAGTGTGTTATCAATTCCTAGAGATTATTATCAATGGAACCAAAACTATTTTGATTACTGCTGTATATGAGGTCAAGCTCAATAAAACCAACAATAACAAAGGTGATAACAAACTTCTACAGGGTATTACATTACATCTTTCTGTGAAGAAAAAGACCTTCTTTCAAAGTTTAAAGGCTTTAAAGTGAAAAAAAAAAAACACAAGGCAATTGTGTTCCATAGTAGAAGTGGGAATACAGATGTTGCACTAGTTACACATGACACGGGAATAACTAATACAGTTAGATACAAGCTTATCCATAAACAATAGTCACCATATGTGCTAGGAACTAAAACTTGCATACTTTCCAATCGTCAAAAAAAATATGAAAGAAAATGTAGGGAAACACTCCTTATGATACTATTGCATAACACAAAAACGTGCATAGGAATACCGTATCATGCATGAAATAACTTGAAATTTAGAAAATTAACGATATGTGCGTCAGTCAGGCAACAATCAGATAAATTTCTGGAAATCTTTAAGACCTTAGGACCACGTCTCAGTCAGGGGCAGAAATCTCAGTGGACTAGCATTGATTCTCAATGATAACAATGGACAACAAACTGGGGAATTGCGACTTCCATAACTTCATCTTAATTATGCCCAACTGGGCACTGCAAGTTCCACCTTTTCATACGAAAATGCTTTCCTCCACAACTTTAGACTACACTCGATCCCCAAAAGAAGAAGCATAAGTAGAAAGGTGCATCCCAAACACAGTAGTACACTTTCTCAGCCTCAATCCATCTACTTCATCCAAACTTATTGATTATAAAGATGTGCATCAACTCAATCAAGTTATGCATTTATAGAACATTTCACGCTGCAATATTAATGACAGGTAAGCTTTCATTGCCATGATAGTATACAGGAACCAATCATAGAATGCCTAATCAAGAGAGAAGTTGCAAAGTAAAATTCTCACGATCAATTATACAACAGCATGTCCTTCAGGTTAACTATCTATTAGCCATGTATCATCTGCTTAAGTACCACATTCAAAGCGAATAGTAACTCTTCATATATTCGAATATTGGATTTTAGACATGTAAGGAATTGACTAACTGTGGGTGTATTCAGTCAGTTAAGTTAACAAGATTTAGTTAGAGTTAGTTATGATTAGCCTTTAGTATAAATAGCTGGATATTTGTTCATTGTCACTAGTTAACCTCTCTACGCTTCTCTCGTTATCTCTTCTCAATGCTGTTCGATCGAGCTCCTCAGTACATCAATTTGGTGAAAGTTAAGAAGACAAAACATTTATTTCTAATTACTTGAATGATTACATCAGGCAAAAGAACAAGCGACAATCAGAATGATAATACTCAAATTTTGTAATAAAAGATTTCCCAACAATGTGTTTAACTTCTAGGATTAGTGGCCAGCAAGGGAGAAAGGGATCGCAGGTGAGTAAGAAATTCCACCCCATCAAAGTTTAGTCCTGAAAATCATACATGTATATTTCCTCCAACGAATTATTCCTTGCTCATTGAACTAGAAAATTCTCCAAGGAACCATTGTTTCTTATCCTAATTGTCAAGGGTCCTTGAAGGTTCATTTTCTAAAAAATTCAGCATACATCTTCCATGCTGCACAGAAAAAATGACTTACCTTTAATCTAGTGAGAACGTTTAAATGTGAAGTGGTTCATTTTTTTCCCAGAAAATGTTATCGCAACATGTAATCATGCCTTTGTCATTACAAGTTACAACCATGGTTTATAAGAGAAGTATACCAATTTAATATTTGCATGCATCAGGTTGAGGACGAGAGTCGTGAGAAGTGCATGTCTAAGATGATTAAAAATTTAGACTAATCACAAAAATTAATTTTCAATTGTATTATATTAATCATTCTTATCATATATGATCATAAAATCAATACCAGATTAGATAAATTTAACATAGGCCAGGGTGTTATTAGTACAAATCTTAATCCAATTAAAAATCAAACTAAGTAGTAATTTTTTTGATAATACACTGTATACGCAAATTTTAATACTAATACATAACATCTGATAAGACATAACGCAAAATTATTAATCATAGCCTAATTCTTAAAGCAACCGAAAAGAGAGAGAGAGAGAGAGAGAGAGAGAGAGAGAGAGAGAGAGAGAGAGAGAGACTGACCAGAGCAACCTCTAAAGCTTCGA